TTCTACTCTTCTATCAAATCTATTATCAGATTCTTCTCACAGTGAGAAAGAAGCTCAGCTACCTTTACTGAGCTGAATATCTCTGTGAGATCTCAGTATTTCTCTGATATCTGAAGCTCAGTTTTCATGATCACAAGGTTCTCAGACACTTGCAAAGTCATTATATAGATGAGCTTATCTTCTCTAATCAACTCTGCAGCATTAACTGATTTTATCTCTGTAAGTGAGTCTGTCAACACTGATTAGAAGTATAAATCTGACTCACAGACAGCTATGTGTGAATTGTGTCTTTAAAGTTATATAAGTCTCAAGTATATGTTATCTGTGATGTCTGTGATAATCACAGTTTCTGCAAATCTTCTTCAGATTTCAGAGAGATCTTGCAATTCAAAGATGACTCTTATGAGTTTCTCAGTTCTCAGATCTGAGTTCTCATGCTCTGCTTATTACAAGAGCAGATTCTCAGTTTTCATCTTTCAGCTTATTCACTCTGTGAGCTTTAGAAACATTACAGTGATCTGAGATTCTGAGTTTATCAATGCTTCTTATACTTGTAGAGCAGCAGTACTATGATGCAGTCTCTCTCTGTAAGCAAGCATTTTCATCAGAGAAGTAACAGATTCAGATGTCAGCTTCAAGACTCTTAAGAAGGCTGTTACTGACTCTGTTCATGACTTCTCAAATTTCTATTTTAATTTGTCTGAATAGTTTGCACAGAGATGTTCTGATTTAGAACAGATAAAGCAGAGTCTCTTTTTCTTAATCTCTCTGTTATACACTCTGTTCACAGAAGCTTATAAAGCTCTCTCTCTCTACTCAGTAGTCAGACATAAATCTCTCTATATCTTATCATCTTTTTCTGATAAATCTGTTCTCTGTTATTCTGATTCTCACAGAGCTGATTGATGATTCACTCTCTACAGGTCTGTGACTCTCACAGTGATTCATAAGCAATGAATAAGAGTCATCAGTTTCTTCAGAGTTAAGAACTTAGAGTCTTGCTCAATGATCTTATTCTACATGTCTTTATTCAGTCTCTTTATAAACATCATTATTCAGGTCTTGTTTCAGAACTCTATTTTCACAAACTCTAATTCATATCATAATTTCATGAAGCACTGTGAGTAGTTTTCATCAGATTTCTCACCTCTTTTTCTAATGTTAATGATTATGACTCAGATATTCTCTATTCAGCTTACAGAGTTTCTCAACTTGTTCTCTAGATAGATCTTGAGAATGAACTAGTAGAATCTCTTATAATTATTCTCTAGATAGTTCAGCCAGTCCTTGACTTCAGTGTAATAAAGATCTGTTATTATATAGATGACAGCTTCTTTATCTTTCATATCACACAGTCAGGCTTGTGAGTCAATTTCAAATGTAAACTCATAAAAGCTTTTATAGATTGTGATTCAATAAGTGATCTTAAGTGATCACAGCTTAAGAAAGTTTCTTTTCAGTTTACAGATGTCTCTGAAGATCATGTCTAGAGACTTGATTTGAGAGTGTTTACAGGCAGTAAGTATTTCTTGTAGAAAAATAGCTTAATTCTGCAGAAGATACTCAAGAATATTCTTCACTGAGATTGATTTATTTATGAGTTCAGAGGGTTTCTCTGTCACAGATGCAGAGAGTAATGTCTCATGAGTAGACTGGCCGGCAGAATCATGAATTTCACATTTGATCTCATTTGATCTGATCTCATACATTTCTTGATGTGAGTCCCATCAGGACCAAGCCTCAAAAAAATCTGAAAATGAACCATTTCTGAGAGAAATGATGTGAAAAATGATCAGATTTAATTCAAGAACAGTGAAATGAAAGTAATTTCTCAGAATAAACTGTGAAAGATAATCATTCTTCTAAAATCAGAATGAAACTGAGACTGAAGATCAAAATCAGTCTTATTCAGTTCATTCAGTGATTGCTTATATAATCAGAATTTGATAACAATTATTGATAACACTCATGAAATAACTAAATACATTCTTGTGCAAGTTTATTCTTCACTTTCTTATGAAAACTACACTTCTCTGATATACTGTGATCAGAGATATTAAATCATCTGATAATTTCATATTTTACAATCATGAGTTTCTTGATTGTTTCTTCTTGTAATTATTCTCAGTGATAGTGATAAATATCTCAACTTGAGTTGAACTTTCACTTCATTCTCACCTCTGTCAATAGAATTGTCAGAATATCACATGTCATCAGTGCAACAGTTGAATATATACTCTTAATAATTTTTCATAACTCTAGAATTAATTTGATGTGTAAATTTATCAGATCATCTTGAAGATAGTGATCAAATTCAGTTTTACAAGCATGTAGTTTTGCCTGATTTTCAGTTGCAATCAATGTATGCAAGTTCTGTTTCAAAGTTAGTATTATAGTTCTATGAAATATGAAGTATTATCAAAGATCATTACTTACTAGAGAATTGTATTTCACTGTCTTCATATCTCAAACATCTGCTTATTCAAATCTCTGATAGTTAACATTGTAGTAGTCTCAGACTAATTTGATATATGAGTCTCATTTCTTCTCTGTTCAATCTTGAGAAGTGTAGATATTAACTAAATAGAAGAGATCTAGTAGAGCTACTATAGCATAGTACTCTGCAAAAGATTGTTCAGTTTTGCTGTAGTAATATACCAGTTTATCCCTTGCAGCAATAATAGCCTGCACTATAGTATTATCTCAGACTGAATTTCTTTTTGAGTGATTCAACTGCTTCTCAAGATGAGTAAATAAACTGTTATACACTCATCAGACTGACTGCAGTATTGATGTATAAGTGATTGAGACTGTCTTTATTGTCTTATAAAACTGAAACAGTAAATTAATCATATATTTTAACTGAGTTCACTTCATATCAGAAAGTTTCAATATCTGAATCTTTTCTCAATCAGAGTGTTGCACTCAATGATCAATTATCTGACACAATCAAAGAGTCTGAACAGTTATCTTATATATTGAACTTCATCATATTCTAACATTCTGTATCATATTCAGTGATGTAACTGATTTGTTTATTTATTGAATATCATGAAATTATTGTTATTATTTAGAGAAGATACAAATCACATTAGCAATGTTTCAAATCTGTGATATTTAAATTATTAGTCAATCTATTCAAAATTAACAGTAGCATTATCAAAAAGTGTTATTAAAAAGCAATATTAAAAAGTGTTGTCAAAAAACATTATCTTTTGTAAAGTAGATGCAAAAGTTACTTGAGTAATCACTTTCATCTCATTCTTATCTCAAGAATCAGTCATCTCATTATTCTTCATCTCAATGTTAAGATTCTTTATCAGTGTTTGCATCACAAGTTAAATCACATAAGCAATACAGAGAATATGACCTTGTTTATCATTTCAGAAATACAAAGTCAATTTTTGCTTCAAGCTCTTCATCATAGTGTAGTTATTCACAGCATTGTCAGTTGTAATTACAAGAAGACTGAGACTAATATCTTAATAGTCATTTTTAATCACAGTCATTAATATCTCTATTATATAATCCCCAGTATAACTACTGATCAATGATTCAAATTCAATTAATGTCTCTTAATAAGTTCAGTTCTCATCAATGTAATAACATGTAACTCTTATAAATGTAAGATTGTTTATACTAGTTTATACATTCACTGTGAGAGATACTCTTCAATGATTCTTCAACTCTGATTCTAGATATTGTATATTGACTTTGTAGTGTGTCTCAAGGTTGAACTGAAGACAGAATCAATATGAAATATGAAGATTTGAATTAAGCATTTGAAGAAGTGTTCAGAATTCAGAATTTTCAATTGATCAAAGAGAAAGATTCAGAGATATACACATATAAAGTAATTATTCACAGAAGTTATCAGATGAGAGTTGTGAAATCAGAGTACTGATACATGATTATTTTCACATAATTTTCTTCAAATTAGAAAGTTAGTATTATTAAAAATCATTATCTGATAGAGTAACTTACCAGCTCAGTAGTAATTTTCTGATTATTTTTCTTTTATTATCTGCATTCTGATAACTTCAGATATCAGGAAATTTCTTCAGAGTTATGATCAGTTTATAATGAATGTTTCTGAATGAAGTTGCAGTGATTGCAGTAGAGAGATGACTCTTCAGTAATCTACAATACAATCTGTTGATAATTATTTCATAGATTATCTCAGTATTTGTGTTGAGTTTTTCATAAATTTTGTGATCTGAAATCAGATGTGAAGAATAAAGTGATCATCTATTATGATTAAAAGAGAGCATTCTGTGTTGAATTGTAAATAACATAGACTTTGTGATTCACAGTGATTTCTTAAAGAGTTTATAAATCTTCAATAGAAGTAAAAGAAGTGAAAGAAGTGAATTCAAAAGATATGATAATAATTTAAGAAAGATGATAATTTATTTTCAATAACTGATCACTGATGTGTGTAAGAAGAATTAATATAAGAGAAAATAATCTTATTTCTTAGCTTAGTTATAATTTTAGTACTAACTCAGATTGAATATCATTGATGTATAAAAGTAAACAAATAATCTTGATTAATCTCTGTCATATTTCTTGAAATATATTAATATTGTAAAAGAGAGTATTATCAAATTACATTATCAGATGATATTATTAAAAATATATTAATATTATGAATATCAATATTGAAAAAATGTTGATACTTATACATTATAGTGATTTGTGAATCATGATAGTTAAATATATATATATATATATATCATTCCTGACTTGATTACAACTTGTACAATAATTTTTGAAAACTCAAAATCAATTTTAATTATTAATAATTAAAAACTTAAACTTATAACTAACTAATATAAAAAGAAAAAAATCTACTTCTTCTCTTTCTCATTCTTCTTATCATTCTTCACAATTCACTTCTCATTCTTCTTCTTCTTCTTCTTCTTCTTCTTCTCCTTCTTCTCATCTGAGGTGATAATCATCTCAAAATCTCTCTTCACTGCCTTTTCAGAGAAGGGTTCTCACTGCTTCTTCTCAGTCAGGTCAATCTGTGTCTCAAAATCCTGCATTTTCTGATCTGCTGTCTCAGGTTTCACCTCAGCAGTAAGTAGATTAACATGCTCAGAGAGCAGAGCTGTCTTCTCAATGTTCTGAATCATGAAGTGTATTTGAGATCTGAACAAGGCCTTAATTCTCTTCTTCTCTGTCAGCTTCTGCTAATCAATTAGAGAACAGAAGTGTTATTAAAAATTGTTATCTCTTAATAAATAAAAAACTTACTAGTTTTGACTTCTTTATCTCTCACTTTAATATCTTCTCAATCTTCTTCTGCTGTTACTTATTTACAGTAACACTCTTCTTCTCTCTCTCTCTCTTCATCTTGAACTCAAATCATTCTCAGAACTTCTTCTGATTTCATCACTGCTGTATGAGACTCTTCACTATCTTCTTCTTCAATCTCTCACAGGCAGCACTATTCATATTATTTCTATACTTAGTTCAGTCTAAATCTATCAGAAGTATTACTTAAAATCATTATCATTCTACTCTCTTACAGAGTCTCTTCAAGGCATTATAATATGCCTTACAATCAGTCTTCTCTTACTTAAACATCTTCTTCTTCTCTCTCTTCAATCTGTGATGATGCTCACGCGCCTTGATGATTCACAGAACCGCAGAATATTTAAAGAGAGATGACATGATTGATTTCAGTAAGTGTTGAAGAGAGATGAAGACAGAAGAGACAGTCAGAAATAATATAATGATGATGATGATGATAATGATGATGATAATGATAATGATAGTAATAATAGTAATAATGTTAATAATGATAATGATAGTAATGATAATGATGATGATGATAATGATGATGATGATAATGATAATGAAAGAAGAAGTGCATTGAAATATATTACTGACTTATCAAATATAAAGAGACAAAGAAAATATTAACAGCTTTCAGAGATATATAGAAATAGCTACAGTGTTATATAGTAACATCATCTTTATTCAATACATACAGTGTTGATATTCTTTATATACAGTTATTATATAATCTCTATCAGAGATACATGCAGAAAACAGATCTTTGTTACTAGAGAGAATGATTGCAGTAATTCTCTGTTTTCATATTATAAAGATAAGTTATTCTCATTTCTTTCTTCTCTCTTTTCTCTTCTTCTTCAACTCATCACTAAATCTAAGCTGATATGAAAACTATTAAAACACTTCTAGAAACTCTCAAATTAAAGAGTATAGACTAATCAAATTTTAAATGCAGAAGAATCAAATTATATTCAATATTACTAATTATTCATTCTCTTCTAATAAAACCACAGTTGAGTCTTTCTCCCCCTCTTCTCAAATAAAACATGGCCTGTGAAAAGTGAGTACCATGTCAGACTATAATGATCAACATGATCTCAGCACACAGAGCTGTATACACACAGTATGTACTGAACTGAGAGACTGCATGAGTTGCAAATCAGTGCCAGTATTTCAGAGAGAGCTGTGTAGTGTGAGAAAGCTGCAACTCTCAGTCACATGTACAGAGAGTGAATTATCACAGTAAGTACATGTGCATTGCATGAAAGTAACACTTTTTAGTAACACTCAGTCTCTGATATTATGAAAATAGAGTCTCTTCATGAGATCTGTTTTTATCAGAAGTCAGAGAATCTTATATTTCTTAAGATCATCTTCATCTGCCTTGTCTGTGAAATCAATGAGAGAAATCATTGATTCCAGCATTCTGCTCTTGATATCATTCAAGTGACAGCAGAGTTTCACCCTGACCACACTTTTTAAGTGTATATTTTCTAAATATTTCACATTTATACAGATATATACTGGATTATTTTATTAGATGATATTAAAGATAATAAACTCATCACAGCTGTGTTACTCTCACTGTGAAGAGATATACAGTTGATTGATGAATATTTGTAAAGACTCTGAAGAGGAAGTATTTTTAAAGATACTGTGACTCTGTAATCTTGATTTTTTATTTTATTTTTCTTTTTTCTTTTTCTTTTCTTTTTTTTTTCTTTCTCTTTTTTTTTTATTTATTCTGATTTTTTCTTGTTTTTATTTTGTTTTTTGTTTTTTGTTTTTTTTTTATATTTTTATATTTTTTTTCATAATTAAAATTATATGAATTATGATCTGTGTTTAGAAAAGTAATAATATTTAATAACACTTTCTGTTGAATTTTCAACAAATAAGCACTATGTTATGATATTATGTAAGTGAGAAGTGATTTCATAATCTCATTTAATGTCATTCTCAATAATGAGATCAGAATGAAAATGTGACTAAGAATTTAAATATATTCTTTATTCAGAACTAGATTTTTATTTGAAAAGTGAATCTGAGATCTTTAATATTTGAAATAATGTGATTTGAAATCAATATAATGAATACAAATTATAATCAGAAGTAATGCTTTTAGACAATATAATAACTGTAAAGTTTGATTCTGGTCTCAGACACAGTCACACAGTCAGTCTACTTATGAGTGATTAGTAAGTTCTCTGAAACTTCTTTTACAGAGATTATTCATAGTTCAGATAACTGCTTCTGAGTGTCTGCAGTAGAGTTCACAGAGATTGAAGCACATGAGTTTCTAGTTCTTTCAGTCATAACAGATGATTGCTGACTGACTGAGCTTGAAATGTAAGAATAAGTACTCACAGGTGATTATTCAGGTGTTTACAGCTTGATGTGATATGTACTGTTAACTACTAGAAGTATTCACAGTAGAAAGATAAAATGTAGAGATTAAATGTATAATAGTATTCAAGCTGAGTTATGAATAGTATTCATGAACTTCAGTCTATATAGTTGTGTGTAGTCAAGAGCCGCTAGCTCTATTGATTACATGAGAGATAGAAATAGAGGTAAAGAATTCATGAGAAGCGGGATTTCTTACAGATTCATTTTTATCAGAAGTTAAGAGATTTTATATTTTATAAAATTATCTTTATATATTTTATCTATGAAATTAATAAGAGAAATTATTGATTTCAGTATTCTATTCTTAATATTATTTAAGTAATATCAGAGTTCACTCTGATTATACTTTTTAAGTATATATTTTCTAATTATTCATATTTATACAGATATATACTAATTATTTATTAGATAATATTAAGATAATAACTTATCTCAGCTGTATTACTCTTATTATAAGAAATATATAGTTAATAATAAATATTATAAAGACTCTGAAAAGTAAGTATTTTAAAAATACTATAATTTTATAATCTTAATTTTTTTTCTTTTTATTTTTTATTTTTTTCTTTTTCTTTTCTTTTTTTTTCTTTCTCTCTCTTTTTTTTTTATTTTTTTTATATTTTATATTATTTTTATAATTAAAATTATATAAATTATAATCTATATTTAGAAAAGTAATAATATTTAGTAATATTCTTTATTAAATTTTTAATAAATAAGTACTATATTATAATATTATACAAGTATTAAATACTCACTTATACTCACTTTTCTGCCTACGCAGCTCTCTCTATTACTTTCACTCTTTCTCTTAATCACTCTCTACTCTCTCTTTATTATCTCTTACTCTCTACTCTCTCTATGATTATTATTATCTCTATCATCTCTATGACTTCTATTATTTCTATTATCTCTATTATCTCTATTATCTCTATCATCTCTATCATCTCTATCATTTCTATTATCTCTATTATCACTCTCTCTACTGTCTCTAGACTGACTGCTGAGATCATGAATTTTATATTTAATCTCATTTAATCTGATCTCATACATTTCTTGACATGAATTCTGCTGAAACTGACTATCAAAAAAACATGCAAAGTGACTATATATCAGATCTTAAAATGAAATCATGACTTGAAAAAAATAAGAAAGTGATCTCATTTGATCTCATTTAATCTCATTCTTGACATAAAGTTACTATTTTTCGACATTTTAAGGTTTTTTTTAGACTATTTTTAATTTTTTAAAAAGTAATGCTTTTTGATAATGCTTAAATGAGATTTAAAGTCATTTAAAGCAATAAAAATAATTTAAATTGAGAAGTGAAAATCATGATCTTATTTGAAAAATGTGATAAGAGTAGACAGTAAGTCTCACTGAGACAGTATGAAACTACTATCTAATGTTAAAACTGTGTAATGAAATCAGTTAAATTAATAATAAGACTATTAAAAAATCTGATTCTGATCTCAGACACAGTTATATAGTCAGTCTAATTATCTCTATTACTCTCTTCTTCTATCACTCTCTTTCACTCTGTATTAGACTGGCCGCCGGGACCATGAATTTCACATTTAGTTTCATTTAATCTGATTCCATACATTTCTTGACGTGAGTCCCACCAGAATCAAGCCTTAAAAAAATCTGAAAATGAACCATTTCTGAGAGAAATGGCGTGAAAAATGACCAGATTTAATTCAAGAACAGTGAAATGAGAGTAATTTTCCAGAATAAACTGTGAAAGATGATCATTCTTTCAAAATCAGAATGAGACTGAGACTGAAGATCAAAATCAGTCTCATTCAGTTCATTCAGTGATTGCTTATATAATCAGAATTTGATAATGATTATTGATAACACTCATGAAACAACTAAATACATTCTTGTGTAAGTTTATTCTTCACTTTCTCATGAAAACTACACTTCTCTGATATACTATGATCAGAGGTATTAAACTGTCTGATAATTTCATATTTTACAATCATGAGTTTCTTGATTGTTTCTCCTTGTAATTGTTCTCAGTAATAGTGATAAATATCTCAACTTAAGTTGAACTTTCACTTCATTCTCACCTCTATCAATGAAATTGTCAGAATATCACATGTCATCAGTGCAACAGTTGAATATATACTCTCAACAATTTTTCATAACTCTAGAATTGATTTGATATGTAAATTCATTGAATCATCTTGAAGATAGTAATCAAATTCAGTTTTACAAGTATGTAGTTTTGCCTGATTTTCAGTTGCAATCAATGTATGCAAGTTCTGTTTCAAAGTTAGTATTATAGTTCTATGTGATATGAAGTGTTATCAAAGATTGTTACTTACTAGAGAATTGTATTTCACTGTCTTCACATCTTGAACATCTGCTCATTCAAATCTCTGATAGTTAGCATTGTAGTAGTCTCAGACTAATTTAACATATAAGTCTCATTTCTTCTCTGTTCAATCTTGAGAAGTGTAGATGTTAACTCAACAGAAGAGATCTAGTAGAGCTACTATAGCATAGTACTCTGCAAAAGATTGTTTCATTTTGCTGTAGTAATATGTCAGTTTATTTCTTACAGTAACAATAGCCTGCACTATAGCATCATCTCAGACTGAATTTCTTTTTAAGTGATTCAACTGCTTCTTAAGATA